TCAGGAGGAGCCGCAGGTTTGCAGGGAGGAGTGTTGAGGTCCTTTCTGCACATCTTGAGTCTGCTGTCCCTGTGGGAGGGACCTATGGGGCAGTCCCATGGGCAGGTGGGGTCTAGTGCCCAGGAAAGGGGTCCAGGCGCATCGGAGAGGTAGTGACAGTTCCTATGGTGGGCAAGATCGTTATTTCATCTGAGGCTCACAACTTCGGCAGAGCTGGATTACCCCCATCATGCAGCTGAAGCCCCTATCCTGATCCTAACCCTTTTCGTCTGGCAAAAGGTCCAAACTTGGGCATCAAGGATGTCTGGGATATCTGGGGGATGGGGCGGGTGGATGCGAGAGGAGCTTGGACTGGCCAGCTTCAGAGCTGAGTCAGACAGGTCAGCTACTTGTGTGGCTATTATTGCCATCCAGGGAATGAGGTTTGGAAGACAGCAGGGAAGGCTTGTGGGTCCTGGATGGGAAGGGACAACCTGGTCACCACTTCTGTTCACCCCTGCCCACTTTTCTTTCCTGGCTCAGACTTATGCAGAGATGGATCCCACCACGGCGGCCTTGGAGAAGGAGCACGAGGCGGTAAGCGGGGTGGGGAGCTGCCTGCAGGTCCCCGATCTCCCCTTGCTGAGGAGCCCCTGCTGAGCCGTGTGCTGTGCCCCACCCCCACCTGCAGATCACCAAGGTGAAGTACGTGGACAAGATCCACATCGGGAACTATGAAATTGATGCCTGGTACTTCTCACCATTCCCCGAAGACTATGGGAAACAGCCCAAGCTCTGGCTCTGCGAGTACTGCCTCAAGTACATGAAATACGAGAAGACCTACCGTTTCCACCTGGTAAGGCTGGGCTGGCCGGGCAGAGCGGGGCAGGGGCCTGGTAGAGACAGAGGCCAGCATGGAGGCTGAGCACGGCTGCGTAGGCAGCTCCAGGGAGGAGATGGGCCCAGAGGAGCAAGTTCAGGGAAGAGCTGCTGGGTGTCAGGAGGCCTGGATTCCAGGCCTGGCTTTGCCGTTGCTGGCAGGGTGACCTTGACTCCAGACCTCAGCTTCCTCTTCTCTGGAATAGGGACAGTAACTCACCCCCTTTAGGTCTTTTGCCAAGGCCAGTCCCATCCTAGGAAGCACACATACCCCCTGGCAGTGGGACCTTAAGGTGTCGATGAAATTGGAGGCTGTCAGGAAGGGGGCGCTCTTATCATGGCACAGTGGGCTGCTTCCCAAAGTGTGGAACCTGAGGCGAATAGGTGTGGCTTAGGGAGGCCATGGTCATGGACGGGCACCTCCAGAGCCAGGCCCACGGACCCCACCCCGCTGTGTGATGTTTGCATCTCTGTGCCTGGGCCTTGGTCTGTAAAGAAGGATCGCCCTACTAAGGCTGCTGGGAGGATTACTGGACGCAGGTGAAGTGTTGAGGGGAAACAGAGGCAGAAACTTGCTCCAAGGCACGCAGTGGTGGATGGGGGCCACCTAGCAGAGAACCTATGGGCAGTTAGCCTGTTCTCTCGTTCCCCCACCAGGGCCAATGCCAGTGGCGGCAGCCCCCAGGGAAGGAGATTTACCGCAAGAGCAACATCTCTGTGTACGAAGTCGACGGCAAAGACCATAAGGTGAGTGGGTGGCCAGGGGCTAGGGGAGGCTGGGAGGCCCTGGGCACCTCTCGGATGATCCTCATCACCACCAAAGGGGAGGGGGCAGCCTTAGCGTGAGCCTCTGTGGACAGAAGGCCTCTGAGGGGCCGATCATGGCAGCTCACCTGCAATCCTAGCACTTTGGGAGGCCAAGGTGGGCTGACCGCCTAAGCTCAGGAGTTGGAGAGTAGCCTGGGCAACATGGCGAAACCCCCATCTCTAGCCAGTGTGATGGTGCGCACCTGTAACCCAGCTACTCGGGAGGCTGAGGCACCAGAATTGCTTGAATCTGGGAGGTGGAGATTGCAGTGAGCCGAGGCTGTGCCACTGCACTCCAGCCTGGGTGACGAGTGAGGATCTGTCTCAAAAAAAAAAAAAAAAAAAAAAAAAGGCCTCTGAGGGCCTCCTAGCCTGGCGCTAGGCCTATGGTTGGCGCACAGGAAATGCAGGGCCCTGTGGCCCCGGGACTCTTATGCTGGTGGGGTTAGGTTCAAGCGTGGGTCGTTCTGGAACCCAGAGTGGAGATTGTCTTGCCTTAGGCTGCTTTTAGAAGCGATTTCTCCTTGCATTGGAAAGAAAGGTGTTTGTTTTTGACTGGGAGGGGACCGCTTTGTGTGAAATTTCCTGCTGAGAGCTCTGTGGCTGTCAAGGGCTGACTGAGTTCCTTGTTCCTGGCCCCAAATGACTTCAGCAGGGCAGGTTGGGGCCTTTGGGACCTACTCTGCTGTTGTAGAGAACTTTGCCTTTGCCTTGTCAGTCTGGGAGGGTCTCCCCCAAGTGTCCTGATTTCCCGTAGACAGGCCATACAGCATAGGACAGAGAGGGCAGAGGGCAGGCTTCAGAGTGGCCCCACTCACTTCACGGTGGCTCACCTTGCCCTGTCACTTCCTCACTGACCACAGACAAGTGACTTAACATAGTTTGTTCCTGTTTCCTCGTCTGTAAGACAGGAGTCATAATATTTACCTAGCTGTGTTGTTAGTGGAATAAATGAGACAGCAAATGTCAAGTGCTCAGTGCAGTGCTTGGTGCCAGTAAGTGCTTAATTAACACGGCCTTGTTATTATCAGTGATCTCTTGAGGCTTGGTTAGCCCTGGACTCAGAGAATGCACAGGCTGGGCCCAGCCCTTGTCCCTGCTCTGCCTTCCTGAGTATGACTTGGTGGAATGGCAGAAGGGCCCCTGCTGGAGATGTGGGGGTGCTTTCCAGCTCTGCCCTCTGCTAGCTCTGAGGCCCTGGGCAAGCACTTCCACTCTGGGAGCTTCAGCTTCCTCCTGAGATGGGCCTGGCAATGCTGGGCTCGCACGGCTGCCGGGCTGGATGTGAGAGTGGCTGTGCTGTCAGAGACCAGGGAGCCCCTTGGTATGTGCCATGAAGCCAAACTTGGTCTCATTGTCCCCTGCTGGAGTGCAGCCACGTGGGCAGACGGGCTGGAGCTCTGGCTTGAGGCTCCTCCATTCAGCAGACATTTACCAGGCACCCAGCTTCATACTTAGCCTCGTGCTGGCCACTGGGGACATAGTCATGAACGGGAAAGTCTCAATTCCTGCCTTGGAGCCTCAGTTTCCCAAGCTGAAACAGTGACAGTTAATGTCTGTGAAGACCGAACCAGATCCCGCATGGAAGGCACCCACCCCGTATTTGGCACTCAGAAGGGGTGGCCGGGTTTCATCCAGCTCCGCTGGTGCCTCTGGAGCGGTTGCCCTCTGATTTTCAGTTCCATCTGTCAGAGGCTGACCAAAGACTCCTTCCAGTGTTAAATCTGTCTGGCCTGGCGAGGCACCCACTTGCCACGTGCTGGTGCTGGTTCCTGGAGGCCAGCTGAGTGGGTCCTGTGCCTGCTCCCTGAGCCTGTCTCTCCCTCCTTGCCCCCAGATTTACTGTCAGAACCTGTGTCTGCTGGCCAAGCTTTTCCTGGACCACAAGACACTGTATTTTGATGTGGAGCCATTCGTCTTTTACATCCTGACCGAGGTGGACAGGCAAGGAGCCCACATTGTCGGCTACTTCTCCAAGGTGCTGGGTTGGGAAGCTGGGGGTAGGGAGGGCGAGGGTAGGTGTGAATGGAGTGGAGACAGAGCCTCCCAGCGGCCCTGAGCACCTGCCCCCCATAGGAGAAGGAGTCCCCAGATGGAAACAATGTGGCCTGCATCCTGACCTTGCCCCCCTACCAACGCCGAGGCTACGGGAAGTTCCTCATTGCTTTCAGTGAGTGGCTCCTGGCCTGTCTGGGAGGGGGACACCCGTGGGACAAGGGTGCCAGGGCGGGCTGAATCCTAGGTTCCTCTTTGTACCACTGCCAGGTTATGAGCTATCCAAGCTGGAGAGCACGGTCGGCTCCCCAGAGAAACCGCTGTCTGACCTGGGCAAGCTTAGCTATCGCAGCTACTGGTCCTGGGTGCTGCTGGAGATCCTGCGGGACTTCCGGGGCACACTGTCCATCAAGGACCTCAGGTGAGGGAGCCTCTGGGGCACAGTGTCCATCAAGGACCAAGGACCTCAGGTGGTGGGGCTTCCTGGACCCTGAGGGCAGGGCTTGTCCTGAAATGGGCCAAGATCCATCTCTTTGTTCCCTGTTGCCCTCTCGGCCAGATCCCATAAGGGCACCATGTCTGGCATTTGCTCGCATCCCTTTTTGTAGCCAGATGACCAGCATCACCCAGAATGACATCATCAGTACCCTGCAGTCCCTCAACATGGTCAAGTACTGGAAGGGCCAGCATGTGATCTGTGTCACACCCAAGCTGGTGGAGGAGCACCTGAAAAGTGCCCAGTATAAGAAACCACCCATCACAGGTGGGTAGGGGACTGTCGTGTGTGTGTGTGTGTGTGTGTGTGTGTGTGTGTGTGTGTGTGTGGTGGGGGAAGGAGCTGGGGGTAGGTATATGGACTACTAGGAGTCAAGGCCTCCTTATTGCTGTCACATGATCCCAAACCAGTCAGACCAGCTCCCTGGATGGAGCCCAGGCAGGCCTCTCATTCCTGGGCTTCCCTGCCCCTCCCCAGCACAGCCTGCCCTTTTGTACTCACCTGGAGGAGGTGAAACCTGGCCTGAGCCCAGAGTAGGGCAGCCGAGTGTGAGCTGGCCTGGCCCAGGCCCAGCCCTGCCTCCCGCCCCTTCTCCCCACAGTGGACTCCGTCTGTCTCAAGTGGGCACCCCCCAAGCATAAACAAGTCAAGCTCTCCAAGAAGTGAGCAGCCTGGCCCCCGTCGTTGGACCCGTGCCTCCTGGCCCCCAGCCTGTAAATATGTACAGACCTGTTTTGTCATTTTTTTATTAAAGTCCATTCTGCTGGTGGCCCTGGACTTTGGAGGTGGGAGGGAGAGGCCAAGAGCCGATGTTCTTCATTTCACTTCACAGGTGCATGGCGAGTTGTGCTCAAACATTTTACTCCTTCCTGCCCTGTTACCCCTACCCCAGATCCAAGCGCCAGCCCAGTTCCGGTGGGGGCTCAGTCCTCCGGAGTCTAGGAGTCAGGGCTCAGGGGCACTCAGTGGCCAGTGGGCAAGATTGGGACCTTTCCTGTCCTTGAAAAAAGAAGCTGCACAAAGGTGGCCCGAGCCCCGAACACAGGGAGAGGGCAGAGAGGTATGCTCATCAGGCTGGCGGGCGGGCATGGGAGCAGTCTTCCGGAAACAGGTGGGAGCCAGCGCTCATTTGCATAGCCAAGGGTCCCAGGAGCTCCATAGGAGCCTGGCCAATGGGCTGGTCCACGGCAGGTGAGGGGCCAAAGGCTCTGATCATTGCCACAGGCAATAAAACTTGTGACTGTCGGTTACAGTCCCAAAGAGCACACCAGAAGAATGGGCTCAAAGATCAAGATCGGGCGCCAGCCTCCTGCAGAGTCCTGGAAGAAGGAGCGTCCCAAGCCAGGCCCGGTGTCCAAAGGCCATCAGGGAAGGACCAGGCTCCTGTTCTTGAGTGTGACGCATCCGTCCTGGAAGCAGGGCCAGCTCAGTGCTCGCTGAGCCATGGGCAGAGGAGGCCCAGAGCCAGACCCAGAGGCAGGAGAAGAATGGGCTTCAGCAAGGCCTGGGCTGAGGGGGTAGAGCTGAATGCCAGGTGGCTGCCACAGAGGTTGATGTCAGGCTGGGACTCCTGGGTTTGGGGCACCACACGAGGCTGGAGTTCTGGTGCCTTGCTGTGGATCCAGGAGGCATAGCTGGAGGCCAGAGTGTACACACCAGGCCTGTTGCGGGCCCCACAGGCATCGCCCCAGCTCACAATGCCCGTCAGGTACCAGACACCCTCCACGGGGCAGGAGAGTGGCCCCCCAGAGTCACCCTGAGAAGAGAAGCCACACAGCAGCCATCAGGACCGGGCCAGGCCTCCTCTCCCAAGCTGCCCTGGTCATCTGCCTCCCTGGACCTGCGCTTACCTGGCAGGCGTCCTTGCCCCCTTCCACGTAGCCGGCACACACCATGTCCTCCTGGACAAAGTGCGGCTCCTCAGGCTTGGCATCGATGTTGTATAGGCAGTTACACGTCTCACGACTGATCAGAGGCACCTCGAGTTGCTGCAGTGGCTTGGGGGCCTGGAGGCTCACTGTGGGGGCAGAAGATGCTTACCCAGGGCCCCTCCCCAGTCAGGTGGCCCTCCATGCCTCTAGGCATCCCGCGTCCCACCTCACCTGAGGGGGCCGTGTGGCCCCAGCCAGTGACAGTGCAGTGGAGGCCATTGGGGAAGGAGGCATTGGCTGCAGGGAGGCAGATGGGCCGGATGTAGCGGGAGAAACTGACGGGAATGTCAAGTTGGAGGAGTGCGATGTCACCCTGGGAGCCCTCCTGGAGGTAGCTAGGGTGGGTGAAGATTTCCTTCACGGTGCTGACCTTGGCGTCCGGGGAGTAGTGCAGCAGCTGGTGGGCCCCCAGCATGACCTCATAGTCTTGCTTGCGGTATTCGTGTTCGCTGCAGGCACGGGGCAAAGGCTGGGACCCAGGAGACCTCTCCTTGTTCCCTAACCCCCGCTGCCTTGTAGCATTCAACCCGATTCCAGTTAGCTCCTTTTAGGTCTCAAATTGCACCTTAGTTTTATCCTGTAACCTCTGATCCCTCCCCTTCACTCCTAACTGGCTCTTCCAGACTTAACTGACACCCTCAAACCCAACCCAAGAACCCCAGCCGTTGACCTGGATTGACCCATGAACTTGAACCTCCAGCCCATTTTTGACTTCCACGGTACCTTGGGAAGCAGTGAGCAGCTGACAGCACCCACTGCTCAGACACAAGAGAGCCGCCACACACATGGACGCCGTCGTGGGTGATGCTGACCTGCCAGGGCCACTGCCCGGGGTCTGCACTGCTGCCACCTGTGATGCGTGCTTGGGAGGCCACACCGCAGGGTGCTGCCGGGGAGGAAGGGAAGGAGCTGTTAGCCCGGCCACTCCTGCGCAGCCCAGGAGCTCTGATACAGAGCTTGGGAAGTGGGTTCACAGGAGTCAGTACCCCTTTGTCCCCTCCCAGGCATGGGCAGTTCTGCCCCTTCTTTCCACTACCCATTACCTAATTCAGGTCTCATAGCAGCCTCCCTCCTTGCAAGCCTTCCGTCCATCCCACCTCTTACAAGATTTTCATAAGCCTCCAATCTGACCAGGCCACAGCCCTGCTTAAACCCTTCCCTGGCTCCACACTGCCCTTAAGATACCTTCCAGGCGGTCATGGCACTGCCCTCGGCCCCAGCCATCCCCTCTGGACCCCGCAGTTGTGTACATCAGGCCACACACTTGTTTACCCGGGACCTTGGCTGATCCAGGTCACTTTACCTGGAGTGCCCTTCCCCATCCTTACTGTCTGGCAAACTTCCCTCTGCCTGTGGATGCTTGATTGGAATGGCAGCCCTTCCGTAGCCTGGTGGGCTCCTGCTGGCTGAGTTGGGCATTGCCTCAGAGCCCAGGCCCCCGACCCCCAGCCTCATGCGCCCCAAGCTGCCCAATCTCACGATTGTTCCAGAGTCCACAACTGTGTCTGTTTCACCACACCAACCTGGGCGTTTCCTAGGGGCACATTCCCATGTCTGTAGCGCTCATGGCGTTGTGGACATGAACAGCAGAACTGGGATGCCGTGACGTGAATGTCTAGTTTCCAGGACAGCCCCAGCCCCACCCGCACTGAGGCCGAGGTTTGGACTGGGGCCCAACTGCTCTTCACAAAGTCATCTAGGAGCAGAGAAAACTGCAGCCCCGTTCTTCCTCTCCCTCACCATCATGACAACAGCCACTATTTAGAGAGCCCAGCGGCTGTGCCAGCCCCGGGAAGGGCTTTTTGCCTCCTCATCTCCCTGCTTTCTCTCCACAGCCCCAGGAGACTAACACGAGCAGCTTCATTTTAGAGTCGAGGAGTCTAAGGGCTTAGAAAGGTAGGGGACTTGGCCAGTGACACACAGCCAGTGCACAGCGAAGCTGGGAATGAAAGCCAGTCTGACTCAGAGCTGGGTTGTGTGCCTTCCAAGAAAGGAGGCCCTTGGTTTGGTTCCCTCAAAACCACCTTGAGGATGGGAACAGTGGCTCACACCTGTAATCCCAGCACTTTGGAAGGTGGAGGCAGGAGGATTGCTTGAATCCAGGAGTTCAAGACCTGCCTGCCCAACGTAGTGAGGCCCCCATCTCTAACAAAACAAAACAAAACAAAAACAACCAACTAGTTGGGTGTGGTGGCATGCACCTGTAGTCCCAGCTACTAGGGAGGCTGAGGGGGGAGGATCACATGAGCCCGGGAGGTTGAGGCTGCAGTGAGCTGTGATCGTACCACTGCACTCCAGCCTGGATGATGACAGACCCAGACCCTGTCTCAAAAGACAAAACCAAACCAAAAAACCATCTGAATTGCCCCACTTTGGAAGTCAGACAGTCTGAATCCCAGCTGCACCCTCACTGGCAGTGTGCCCTGGGCAAGTTGCTGCTTCTCTGCACCTCAGCACCTTGGAACCTCTGTCCATAAGGTGAGGGCTACAACTCCCCCTCCTTGGGAGCCCTAAGAGAATGCAGTGGGAGGGCAGCCCAGCCAAGGGCCAGGCACTGGTTAAACCCCAGGGGAATCCGATCCAAGTCCCATCCCCCTCCCCTCTTCTCTCCGAGGAAAGCCTCACCTTCTGTCCCTTCCGCTCCTGGAAAGAAAGAGAAAGAGGGAGCAATGAGTAAAAGACTCGGGTTTCCTGACCCCTCAGCACCGACCACTGCTCCAGAGGGCTGGCCCCTTCCCTGGCAGAGCCAAGGTGGGAGGAGGAGGCCAAGAGCTAGGGAAGCCGGGGGTTTTCTTGGGCCCCGGACAAGGGCGCACCCCAGAAAATGATCACGCTGGCTCCCTCCAGCGCATTGTCCCCGCCCCGCCCCGCGTCCTCACTCACCTGTTCCCAACTGTAATAATCCAAGATAGAGCAGAATGGCCACAGCCCCCGGCTGCTCAGGCCCCAGGACCCCCTTCTGGGCCATGGCCCAGGACAAGGGCCCCTGGGGCAGACTCCAGTAGCCCAAGGTAGGAAGCTAGGGGTGGTGTCGAAGGCAGGACCCAGATGTTGGCTCAGAGGGAAAGATACCAGAATTCGGGCTGGGAAGGGGCAGCAGGTGTCCAAGGCTGGCCTCTAAGGCAGGGAGCGGCCACAGCAGGAGACGCCTGGAGTCTCCTTAGCAAGCAGTGTGGACGAGTCACTGGTACAGTCTGGCCACGCAGGGTCCTCCCAGGAGTGGCTGCACCTACCTGCCCGCCCCTCCCCTGGCCCCGCCCTCTGGCTCCTCCTTACCGCCAAAGTCAAGAGTCCTTCCAGAGCCCCAGGCCCGCCTGTGTGTGTGTGTTCCAGTGTGTAGTATGAGGTGTGATGTGTGTGTATGCCTGTGTAGGCTGTGTGTGTCCCTTGTATGGTGTGTGTATGTGGTGTGGTGTATGTGTGCAGGTGTGTTGGTCGTGTGTGTCCTTGTGTGTGTAGTGTGTCTTGTGTGTACACGCATGTGCATGTGGTGTGTGTGTGTGTGCGTGGCCTCCCTGGAATGTGACTCTCCTCCGCCTCACGTCTTTCAGGTATCTCAGGCCAGTTAGGCCCCCCAGGACCTCCCTCCCTTCTTAGGCCAGGTATGGGAGCTTAAGACACCAGGATCTGTTTTCCATCAGGCCCTTTCTGCAAAACCAGCACCTCATGGGTGGTAGCGAGCTTGTCCAGCAGCGCCAATCATCCCGCAGACATTTCCTGAGTGCCTATGATGTTCAGGTGCCCAAGACAAAACAGGCACCAGCCCCATCCCCGCTGAGCCCTGAGCTCATGGTGAAGTAGGGGTGACAAATATTACACTCAGGCTGGCAAGGTGGCTAATCTGCTTTGGGAGGCTGAGGCTGGAGCATCGCTTGACACCAAGAGTTCCAGACCAGCCTGGGCAACATAGTGAGGCCTCATCTCTACAAAAAAATATAAAAATTAGGCAGGTGTGGTGGCGCATGCCTATGGTCCCAGCTACTTGGGAGGCTGCGGCAGGAGGATTGCTTGAGCCTAGGAGTTTATGCAGCATTGAGTTATGATCGCACCACTGCAGCCCAGCCTGGGCAACAGAGGGACACCCTATCTCAAAAAACAAAACAAAACGAAACAAAAAAAACAAGCCGGGCATGGTGGCGCATGCCTGCAATACCAGCACTTGGGAAGGCCAAGGTGGGTGGATCATAAGGTCAGGAGTTGGAGACCAGTCTGACCAACATGGTGAAACCCTGTTTCTACTAAAAATACAAAAAATTGGCTGGGTGTGGTGGTGGGCACCTGTAATCCTAGCTACTCGGGAGGCTGAGGCACCAGATTTGCTTAAACCCAGGGGCAGAGGTTGCAGTGAGCCAAGATTGTGCCACTTCACTCCAGCCTGGGCGACAGAGCAAGACTCTGTCTCAAAAAAAAAAAAAAATTGTAATTACACAATAATTTCAAGCTAGAAATAGTGATGAAAGAGAATGGCATAATCGAACCACAGACTGGCAAAGGCTGGCATCGTGGAAGGGTCCTTGATGAACTGCCTTGAGAGCTAAGACTGAAAGAGGTTATGAAAGGCGGTAAGGTGAAGATGGGAGGGTGGAGTGGAGGGGCAGAGGCTCAGGGAAAGAAAGCCCGCCGTGTGGCTGCGGTGGGGGTGAGGCATGTCCTCCGGTGGGGACCTCTGGTCATTCAAAACCTGTTGAGGCTGGGTGTCGTGGTTCATGCCTGCAATCCCAGCACTTTGGGAGGCCGAGGTGGGAGGATCACCTGAGGTCAGCAGTTCGAGACCAACCTGGCCAACATGGTGAAACCCTGTCTCTACTAAAAATACAAAAAAATTACCCGGGCGTGATGGCACATGCGTGTAATCCTAGCTACTGGGGAGGCTGACGCAGGACAATCACTTGAACAAGGGAGGCAAAGATTACAGTGAGCCAAGATCATGCCACTGCACTCCAGCCTGGGTGACAGAGCAAGACTCTGTCTCAGACAAAAACCAAACAATACCTGTTGGGTCTGAGCTTCAGGAAAAGCAGAGACTCGTGTCCCCACCTGCTTTCCAGAGACCAGATGTCTGGGGCCCAGGCTGGAGGTCAGATGATTCCTCTGGTAGGTGAGTGGAAGGGGCCTGACTGGAAGGGGTCTTAGCTGGGAGGAGGGGGCAAGATATGGGGCCTGATAGGTGGGTTTCGGCAAAGGATGGGGTATGTGTAGTGTTTGTGGGAATGGCATGGGGTGACTGGCTGGGAATGGGGGCAGGTGGGGATGTACACACTGTGAAGATCCTGGAGATTATTCTAGCTGGCATGTAGGTGCTAAGGCTAAGCCTGGCCTTATAAGAACCTCTGGCCTTTTTCTCCGCCTCTCAGTGAAAACTCCCAGTCTCTTTCTAGGTCTTTTATCTTCTTCCTCTTCCTTCTCAAGCCAGGGATTGTGCCCAGCCCTAGAGATGACCGCTCTACCATCCTCATCAGCTGGCTTTCACTTCAAAACCTACTCTTACCCCGTTTGTCCTTTTTTTTTTTTTTTTTTTTTTTAGATGGAATCTCACTCTCAGGCTGGAGTGCAGTGGCACGATCTCGGCTTACTGTAACCTCTGTCTCCTGGGTTGAAGTGATTCTCCTGCCTCAGCCTCCCCAGTAGCTGGGATTACAGGCACCCAGCTAACTGTTGTATTTTTTGTAGAGATGAGTTTCACCATCTTGGCCAGCCTGGTCTTGAACTCCTGACCTTGTGATCCTTCTGCCTTGGCCTCCCAAAGTGCTGGGATTACAGGCGTGAGCCACTGCGCCCAGCTGTCCTTTTTCTTTTTCTTTTTGAGACAGGGTCTCATTCTGTTGCCCAGGCTGGAGTTTAGTGGTACAATCATAGCTCGCTGTCGCCTTGAACCCCTGGGCTCAAGTGCTGCTCTTGCCTCAGTCTCCTAAGTAGTTGGGACTACAGGTGCATGCTACCATGCCTAGCTAATAAAAAAAAAAAAAAAAATTCTGGAGCTGGATGTGGTGGCTCACACCTGTAATCCCAGCACTTTGGGAGGCCGAGGTGGGAGATCACTCAAGGTCACTCAAGGTCAGGAGTTTGAGACCAGTCTGGCCAAGATGGTAAAACTCCATCTCTACTAAAAAATTATTCCAAGCATGGCAGTGCATACATACCTGTAATCTCAGCTACTCAGAAGGCTGAGTCAGGAGAATCACTTGAACTGGGAGGCCAAGATTTCCCCACTGTACTCCAGCCTGGGCAACAGAGGGAGACTCCGTCTCAAAACAAATAAATAAATAGGCCGAATGTGGTGGCTCATGCCTGTAATCCCAGTACTTTGGGAGGCCGAATCAGACGGATCACCTGAGGTCAGGTGTTCAAGACCAGCCTGGCCAATATGGAGAAACAAAAATACAAAAATTTGCCAGGCATGGTGGTGGGCACCTGTAATCCCAGCTACTCAGGAGTCTGAGGCAGGAGAATCACTTGAACCTGGGAAGCGAAGGTTTCAGTGAGCTGAGATTGTGCCATTGCACTCTAGCCTGGGCGACAAGAGGGAAACTCCATCTCAAAAAATAAAAATAAACAAACAAAATACAAAAGTTAGCTGGGCGTGGTGGCTTGAGTCTGCAATCCTAGCGACTTGAGGCTGAGGCAGGAGGATCGCTTGAACCCTGAAGCAGAGGTTGCAGTGAGCCAAGATCGTGCTGCTGCACTCCCTTCTGAATTCAAAAGAGGAGGGTTTTCCCAAAAAAAAAAAAAAAAAAAAAAGTGGAGATGGGGGTCTTGGTTTGTTGCCCAGGCTGGTCTCGAACTTCTGGCCTCAAGTGATCCTCCCACCTCAGCCTCTCAAAGTGCTGGGATTTTAGGTGTGAGCCACCACACCTTGTTGGGTTTCTATTTAATTTTTAATTGTAGATTCATTGGCTGGAAAACACCTGCCCTTTTTCTGTGCTCAAACGTCAATTCTACGACCGCTTCCCGATCCCCAGCCAGAGGTGTCCACATGTGTCCTTACTAGATTGGGAGCACTTTGTGGGCTTATATATCAAAGCTTAATTGTGCCACAACTTAGCAGCTAGCAGGGAACACAGGTTGAATGAATGCAGGGAGGTGCAGGTAAGCGGTGGGTGAGGGAGTGGGATTCACATACAAGGGACCCAAGTTCTGGGCAGAACGTAAAAGCGGCAGGCCCTTGAAGGGTCTCAGTATTGTGTGTGTGCAGGGGACACATCGGAGCATCACACATCGAGCTGTGTCCATGGCGGGCAGCGAGGGCAGCAGATCTGAGCTGGGGGCGAGATGTCTAGCAGGTGCTGAGGGTGCTGACTCCACTGGGCAGGTGACACACAGCCAGCTGGCCACCCGACCTCCCTGCCCTGCGGCAGGAATGAAGGAATAGCTGCCAGGTTATCAGGACACATTTCCTGAGAGCCCAAGGCCTGACTCAGACACGGGAGGAGGGAGAGGACCTCCCACTTGGGCTTCCCGCTTAGCCTCTGATGCCCAGCCCCTCAGCCTGCCCACAGCGATGCCACAAGGCCACACAGGTGCCTGTGTTTACACCTTTATTGTCCACTCCTCCCACCACCCCCAAGGATTCCTGGGCTCAAAATAGCCCAGGCACTGAGGCCCAATTAGCCAGAGCCGCTGCAATCTCGGTGGGTGGGGCCCTCGAGGTGCCAGCCGGCTGGGCCACATTCCAGCCCCACTGGGCGGGAAGTAGAGGGCGGAGAAGGGGGAAATGGCACTGGAACCCCAGCTCCTCAGCTCTGGATCAGGAGAGTCAGCAGCAGCAGGAAGTGGACCCCGTGCGGGGAGCCCGAGGCCCTGGCCAGTTCTGAGGGGCAGAGGTTGCTGCCTCCAGTGGGCCAGTGTGGGGAGCCACTGGGGGGCAGGAAGTAGGCCTCTCCCACCGTCTGGGAGATCCAGGCCTTTTCATTGCCAATGGCGGCAAACAGCTCCCGGCTTCCTTGAACAGCCATGCCCACGAGGACCCAGGAGCCTTCCGTCGTCTGGCACAGGAGGGGCGGTGCTGAGCTCATCTGTAGTTGGAGGGAGGTCACATGGGTCTGCTGTCCTTCCTTTTGGTCCCCTGCCCCTTTCCCCAGGGTCTGGCCACGAAGCACACTGGTCTGCATCCCTAGACACCCAGGTCCCTAGTTTCTCTTCGGGGTCCAGCCAGGGTCCCTTTTGAGGCTCAACACCCAAGAATTCCAATCCTGGCCAGGTGCTGGTGCCCATAATCCCAGCAATTTGGGAGGCCAAAGTGGGCAGATTACCTGAGGTCAGAAGTTTGAGACCAGTCTGGCCAACATGGTGAAACCCTGTCTCTACTAAAAATACAAAAATCAACCAGGCATGGTGGTGTATGCCTAGTTACTAGGGAGGCTGAGGCAGGAGAATCGCTTGAACCCGGGAGGTGATGGTTGTAGTGAGCCGAGATCACGCCACTGCACTCCAGCCTGGGTGATAGAGCGGGACTCCGTCTCAAAAAAAAAAAAAAAAAGAATTCCAATCCAGGTCCAGCAGTCCAACACTGCTTCTCCCCTGCTCCCCGAGGACGCCCAGGCCCCTGTACCTCACACCTGTCCTCCTGTCCCTCTGCATACAGGACACAGAGGGTTCCAGGGGGCAGGATGCCCTGATAGAGGCAGTGGCAGATTCGTGGTGTCAAGATGGAGACAGCGGCAGCCACAGGGACTGGGGAGAGGAGACAGAGTTGTTGCAGCGCTCTGGTCTCCAGCCACTCCTCGTTCCCATGACACAGGGCACTCACCTCGGTCCCGGGCGTCTTTCCAGCCCAACACCCAGCAGCTGGCTCCTGGGGGGACACCAGCCGGGTGGAGACAGATGGGGAGGGTTGATGGGGAGGGCTCCACCCGGTAGCTCAGCTCAAGGAGGGCCAGGGGGGGCCTGAGTCCCAGGTGCCGGGGCAGCCGGATGCTGATGACCAAGCGGGATACCTGGTAGACCTGTGGGAGGGGGCTGTCCCCTGCCCGGCCCAGATACACTTCAATGTAAGGCACCGTTGTAGAGCCTGGCCTGTTGGAACAAGGCCCAATGTCACCTTCTACTCCTCCCATTGCTGACAAAGTCCTTCACAGCCCAGGGGAAGGATGACTCTCTGGGGTCATGCCACTCACTCCTGTCAACCTCCTTCCAAATCTCCTTCTGGGTCAAAACATCTCCCAGTGCTGTAAGATCCTTTCCCCTTCCCCACCCACTCCAGATGGAGTCTTGCTCTCTCGCCCAGGCTTGAGTGCAGTGGCACGATCTTGGCTCACTGCAGCCTCTGCCTTCTGGGTTCAAGGGATTCTCCTGCCTCAGCCTCCCGATTACAGGCGCTTGCCACCACGACCGACTAATTTTTGTCTTTTTAGTAGAGATGGGGTTTCACCATGTTGGCCAGGCTGGTCTTGAACTCCTGACCTTGTGATCCACCTGCCTTGGCCTCTCAAAGTGCTGGGATTATAGGCATGAGCCACTGCACCTGACTGTAAGATGCGTAAAGGAGAATAACTCACTATTTTAAGAGTTCTTTGGGTCAGGCACAGTAGCTCATGCCTGTAATCATAGCACATTGGTAAAGGCAGGAGGATTGCTTGAGGCCGACCTGGGCAACACAGCGAGATCCCATTGTTAATTTTTAAAAAAAACAACAAAAACAAGTCATTTGGCTTTGTCCCATTCTCCCCTCCCGCCTCTAGCCTAGGAGATGAGTGAGACCCACCTGAGGACACAGTGAGTGGCTACCAGGACCCAGCCTGGAGCCAGGAGAATCCCAGTGCAGACTCGAGCGCCAGCCACATGCACCTCTGCTAGCCAGGGCCACAGGACCCCCATTGGAGCATCCTCCGGCCGCAGGCCACAGGCTAGGGAGAGGAGATGGCCACCTCAGCTGGGGCCCTGTGGCTGACCTCTGAGCCCCTGTCATGGGTCTATGTGCCCCCAGGGGACCCTAGGCCCCAAAGGTGTCCTGCTCACCACCATACTCTGTGTGAGGGGGACAAGTCTGTGTCTCAGTCTCTTTCCCATCAGGGCCCCAATCCCAGGTTAGCTGGTCTTCCAGGTAGGCTCCCCGAGTCACATGGCTGATCCATGGGCCATGGGTCTGCAGAGGGAAGAAGGCTCGGGGACGTAGACAGCCACTGGGGAAGTCTCTGATGCCAGCCAGAAACCAGGTCCCCTCCTCCTGGCACAAAAAGCTCCAACACGAGTCATTCTGCAACAAAGTGCGTGTGTTACTTGTCTCTGCGCGTGCGCAGAGAATATCAGCGCTCCTGGGGCTTTCCAAGACCCCAGATTTTCCCGTTTGCGGAAATATCAAGTTCTACCTTCTCCAAATCAGACTCCAAATACTAATTTGTGTAAGAATTCAGCTTTCTCCTTAAATCTAGGGATAGAAACCACAGCAATCCCCGCCTCACAGCCCTCCTCAATCCCCTCCCGAAAGTTCTCTAGGGCCAGGCCCTGCCCCCAGCTCGTCTGGTCCCGCCTCCACTCCGGCTCCGCCCCAATCCCAGTTCCGCAGGCCCCGCCCTCTCCCTAAAGCACTCTCAGACCTGCCTAGGCGCGGTTCCCGCGGCTTACCCAGCAGCGGCCCGCTTCCTCCTCCTCCCGGTAGGCGGGGCATAGCGCGTGCGGCGGGTCTCCCGGCAGCGGCACTGCCGCCCCCTGGCGGCCGTACAGGCAGTGGCACCACCACCCGCCTAACAACTCCGCCTCCAGCAGCGCACCTGGGCCAGGCGCGGGTTCTGGGAGGGAGAAGGCAGGGAGCCCGTGCTGCGGCCCAGACGGCCCCCGCCCCGCTCGGCGCCGTTCTGCCCAGCGCCGGACCCCAGCTCACCCCCGCGACCCCAGCGGGCCAGGCGGCAGCGGCTCCCGGGCAGGAAGTAGTGTTCCGGGTAGGGTAGGCACACGGGCCGCGGGGGCACGCTCAGATTCACTGGCGCGCCCAGCTGCAGCAGCGCCAGGTCGGAGGCGTCGTCCCACGTGGCGTTCTCGTGGGGCACCAGGCGCGCCACCCGCTCTGCGCGCGGGCGCGAGGGCAGCAGCACTCGCCAGGTGTCGAGGTCGCGGGGCGGGCCGTCCGAGCTGCTTCGGCTGCGGGACGGGGGGTGGGGGACGTGGGCCGAATCCCGCACACGTGGCTGAAAACCTCGCACCCCTGGCTTAAACTCTCCAGGAGAGGATCCTGCATCCCTGGTGGGATTCCGACCCCACCCCCATTTCAACGGCTTACTTACACCCCGCCTCCGGGATCGGACTTCTACCACGCCTCTACCCACCCCTGCCAGTCCAGGACCTCTCTTTTTGTGCTGGATCCTACACCTCCGAATGGGACCCTGTACCCCCAACGCCCCTCAGGGGAGGGGCTGGGGCCATGTAGATAGTGTGGTCTCAGGCTGATGTGAGGAGGAGCAAGGATAGGCCTGAAACGTGGATTCTCACTTACTCTAGAAAGCAGCTGGCAGGTGCCAAGACCCAACTTTCAGACACCAGCGCTCCATAGCAGGGTCTGGATCCTGGCACCATCACCCGGGCCTCCCAGGGCCAGGCCCCTGGCCGTGGGGCCTTCCCGCACTCTGAGGGGTGAGAGGCCTGGGTCAGGGGGCATCCTGCACCCCATCACTCCCAGCAGCCTCCATCCCAACTCAAACCTCCCGTGTCCTGCTCATATCCAGGGGTGTCGCCCACTCACCAGGCAGGGCAATGGTGCAGTTCCCCTCACTGAGCTCCTGGGGATCTGACTGGGGCTTCTGGGGCTGGATGGGAAAGGCAGGTCCAGGCTCTGAACCCATAACCTGTTCCCGTATCCATGCCTCATAGGATGCCACGGCAGTGAAAACTCCAGGGCGGTTTCTCCGTCCACAGCCGAATCCAAAGCTGGTGATTCCTGCCTGGAACCAGCGGCCGCCTTCCTCACAGACCAGGGGCCCCCCAGAGTCACCCTGGTGACAGATGACCACATGTCGGGGGGTCAGCCTAGGGACCCACCCTTTTATACTGGCCTCCTCGAGAAGGTCCTGGAGCTCCTTTGGGCCCAACATACAGCCACTTTCTCCGTTTTCCTAGAAACCCCCCTTGGCTAGGCCTTGTCCCCTGCATTCTCTGGGGCTCTATAAACAGAAGAAAGCCCTGTAAGGAGAAGGCCGATGGCAGCCAGACCCAAGAGCACCAGGCAAGTCCAATCAAGGCCATGAAAGAGAATCCTGCAGGCATCATCAGAGCCAAGTGATTCTTGTCCAGTGTCTAGTTGAAATAATTTCACTCCCTCCCTTCCTTTCTTCTTTCCTTCCCTTCCTTTTTCTCCTTTTTTTTTTTTTTTTTTTTTCTTATTTTTGAGACG